AAGGCAAAAAGGGTGTAGAAAGGTTTGTGGTGTGGGGGGGGGGGGGGGGGCAGGGGCAGGGCAGGAATAAGCTGCTGCCCTTGTGCCCTGGTGAGCTGAGCAGCAGTTGGAGTCAGGCAGGGGAGAAGGTGGTGGGGAGGGTGGTCTGCTATGCATGCTGTGTGCTGGGCCTGCTGTGAGCAGCACCTCCACCCCACTCCCACCCTCCTTCCTGCCACTTCCCCCCACTTCTGCCCCCCGTCCCCTCCACCGCCCCGTGCTCCAAGATAAGCTGCTGCCCTTGTGCCCTGGTGAGCTGAGCAGCAGTTGGAGTCAGGCAGGGGAGAAGGTGGTGGGGAGGGTGGTCTGCTATGCATGCTGTGTGCTGGGCCTGCTGTGAGCAGCACCTCCACCCCACTCCCACCCTCCTTCCTGCCACTTCCCCCCACTTCTGCCCCCCGTCCCCTCCACCGCCCCGTGCTCCAAGACTGCAGGGCTTTTCTGCTTGCTCGTAAGTTTCTTTTTCATGTTTTTTTTTTTTTGCAGTGAACTACTGCTTGGGGATGGCCAAAAACTGGGGCTTAATTACCTTGATTAATCCTGGGGAAGCTGTTAATTCATGCTTAATAACACACGAATTAATGGGTTCCCCTGATTTAATCCGGGTAATTAAGTCAGGGTTTCCAGCCGTCTGGCAGTCTGCGGGGAGGGGTGGGACTGCTGAGCCTCCTTGGCCAATCAAAGGCATGGTGGGGGAGGGCCACAGCTCTCAACCTATGAAATTGGCAGCTGGTTCTGCCTACAAAATCGGCCAGTCACCTCCTTTAGCTCAGTAGACCCCTACCCCAAACTCCAGAGGCTGATCCCAGAGTTGTAAATATCAATTTCAGTGTCTTGGGTGGGAGTTGCCCAGTGTTGTGGGAGGCTGCTGGTGCCCCTTCTGAATTGGCACATAGGACTGGTGCTCTGCTCACCCTGTCTTAGTTATGCTACTGGCTGATGCAGTTCAAGAGCAAGCCAAGATGTATAGTGGTTGAAATCTCTGACAGGGAGATGGAAAGACAACATAAGAATTGCAGTATGTGGAAAGAGAACATGGACCATCCTGTATCCACTTTGTTGGTGCTAGGGACCTAAGCCTACAAATGATCCAAAGATCTCTTCTTTCCAAGAGAAGCCAGGGAAGCAACACAGAGCTTTCTTTGCTCATCCCAAGAAAAACAGATTGGGCTCTATCTATTCTATGGAGAGGAAGGAGTGAATGTTTATGTCAACTGTTTTGGTCAGAGGTGTCAAAGAAATGGCCCGCAGGCCAGACCTAGCCCACGGAGCCCTATGATCTAGTCCTCAGTGCTGTCTGTTGGTCTCAAATTGGCTTCATGTACTGTATGCAGCACATTGTATGCAGTGTACAGAACTGGTTTGGTACATGCTGCAAGTGGCTGGACCCAGCTCATGCTCTGCACACAGCTCTCAGGGCCAGTCAAGGGCTCTTGCTAGATGTGAGGCCAGTCCAGATCAGTCCCACATACTGGCCTGTATACCAGATCCATCACGCAGCCCAATCCAGCTCAACTCAGGCATCTCATACAACAAGTACCCTGGACTGGTGCTGGATACTTCATGTGGTTCACAGGGCTGGTCTGGGGTGCATGCTGCATGTAAGCCTACACCAGACTGGCCTTGAATACTAGCTCCAGCATGCAGGGATGGGCCGTGGACCCAATCCAGGCCCCAGATCGGCCCTACAACCCTCCTCCGGGTTATGGGGCTAGATGGGTTTGTTACCCTTGGCTTAGATGATTTACTTTAATCCTGCCTCATGTGCAGTCCTTTCTGGAGGTAAAGTGTGAGTGCTAAAAATCTGTTGAGATGAATGGAGTAGTAAACACCTTTCAGTGCTGGGGTTTCTGCGTCTTTGTACATTTAGACAGATGTGTATTACTTATGCTCAACACACTTTAATGAAACTTTTCTTCACAACCATGAGGTGTAAAAGCTTCTTTTTTTTTTTAATGTTGAAAGCTGATATTCCATTGCAAGCCCAAGATTTCAGGAGGTTGGTATACAAGGCACGAGCTTTTAGTGCTGCTGTCTAAACCTGTTTCCATCTGTAACAGCACAGCTGAAGGATGTTGCTGTTTGCCTTGGATGTGGCTTTGCCATAACATCTGCAATAAAAAGAGGCCAAAGACAACTGTCATGGACTCGGGCTGAAAAATTGAATTAAAGAACAGCTATTTTCTAGTCTAAACTTTATAGACGTTACTTGAAACTTCAGATTTGATTTCCTTTTACTCCTAGAATAAAAGTTAGTATGCTATGACACCTAGAATATATGTGCTCTGGAGGCTAGACTGGGACATTATCTACAATTTATAGATGATTGTCAATAAAGGATTAACAGATGTATGCTTTTTTAGAATTTGTTTGTTAGGAGTGTCAGTATCAGAGAACAACATAAAGATGCTGAGGGCACACTGATTCACACACATCTGTTGGTAAGGGTGCCAGTATATTGCTGTAC